GATGTTTCTCTGAGTGGGGCATGTGTGATACTCTTGACAATGAAGAAACTGTATCTACATCGATGTGATATTGTTCCCATGGGTAAGGTTAAACCCAACACCAGAAAATGCTTTCCTATACCCCCCTTCACCCTCCAGTGCAATCTCTCTTAAAAGTCTACACTAATCCAAGAACACAGACCAGGCTTTAACCCTTAATTAACTCTTTCTTACCTGCATGGCATTGGCTCCCCAGGGCAAAATACAAGACCCAATATGGCTTAGAACACTTCAAATGGAAAAACTAAAAGCATCTACCCTGACAGTGTTTCAGAAGCAACATCTTCAGATATACAAAGAGAACACAGTTTACTGAGGCCAAAAATGAGCAAAAAGACCTGCACCTCAGCCATCTAACAATGTAATGATAAGTAACAGGATGCGAAATTTACAATGAGTTCATCTGCACCTCTTCCCCCCGAGACTGAACCTTGGCATCTTCTAAACAGCATTGGTAATACGTTAGGTATTTTTTAAAACCCCATGTGCTTCTGTTTCTACAAAACCCTACCAATATTTAGAAACTGGTTAACAAATTTTAGACATACAAACTTAACGAAAGAACAGAAGCAATCTATTTGGTTCTGAATTACCTTTATGTGGGAAAACATTGCTTAAGAATTCAGGAGCAAGGAGCTTAGTCAGCTTGAAAAGATTTATTACAACAACTCGTCCTGTTATATATTATCTGTAAATGTCTGACCTTCTAAAATACTGGTGCCATGTACAATGAATTCATTATTTTACTCAATGTTTAAACTCTTTTGTTGGCAGATTGTGATCTTCAGCCCACAACATGCTTGTCTTTGAATAAACTAGGTTACACCTTGTTTGAATGTATACCCTTTGGCTGCAGTTAAATATTTCCCTTTTTACCTGCATGGTATAACAATCACAATTGGTTAAAAGAAATTCTAAAATAAAATACTGTGTTTTTATGTTCTAGTCCTTAAAAGGTCAAAAAAATGTGTTATCTTGTTTCTTTTAATACAAAAATTCTACAAGAGCTATTTTGTAAAAGGAAAATTTTAAATTAGTATTATCAGCAGTATTAGAAATTTTCAGGTCCTCATACTTTGATAACTAAAAAATGAAACTAAGTACTATAAATAAAAAATCATACTTGAATATTCTGTTGTAAAATACATTATAAGAACAAGAGCTTTTTCTCACTTTTTTCTGAAGACAACATATGCTGGATTTCATAAATTTATAAACCAACATGACAGATTTATTCTTCTTTTAGACATTTTACATTAAATCAGAAACTTTTCTTAAAATCTACCCTATGGATTAATATTCAATATCATCAAAACAAAAGATTTTATATCAACTTTCTGTTTTTCTTCACAGTATTAATCTATACTTTAGCAGAGGACAGGATAACATGAACTTCCTGTTCCAAAAAACTAAGTACCAAATGCTGAAATACAGAAAGTAGTGAGTCAGATGACGTTTACGAAATTTAGTTATATGATAAATCACTATCAAATACATATGTTAAAGAACTTTCAAATACAATGAAAAATGTTGAGAACCAATACAATGATTTGTGTATAAGTTTAAGTCAATATTCAAAGAAATCTTTGAGAATGAAGACACGAGGCTTTCTATTTAATTTCCACAAAAATATACCATNTAATTTAAAAATCCTTCAAAGAGCAAGTCAGGTGGATGCCTCAAAGTTCCTTTCATCGGGACGAGTTGCCAGTAAAAAGTCATCACACGTAAAAACAACGCAACGTTCTCCTTAAATTTCATGCTTTCTGATGTCATAACACCTGTGACACTCCATGATAAGGGTTTTTTCCTGCTGACCGCACGTAAGGCAGCGAGCACAAGTAGGCTCTTGGGTCAGTGCTCCCCCTGAAGTACCTGCTTGTGAGATTTATCCTCAACTGTAGTTTGACTCTCTTATGATGTGATTCCTGGGCTACAAGCTTCTACAAACTGACAGAAATAACAGGAGATGTGAAAAAAGCAACAACACTAAAAACAGATGTTGGTGTAAAATTCCAGGGCCGTTTATTTGCTCGTTGTGCTTTTTAATGTACAATTTCTATGCTGAAGACAAAGAACTTTTTTTCCCTCTGAAAATACCTAGAACCATGAAACATGTGGGGGAGATGAAGTAGGAAATTTATAGGATGGGGACCTGAGGAGGTGGGAAGTAAAGCAGCTGAGAGAAGACGAGGTTGAAAGAAAAAAAATGCACCTAGATCCAAACTATGTTTTTCAGGAGTCCTGCATCACCCTTTTCTAACTCTCATTTTCTTTTAATCTTGTGTGGTGATAAGTCCAAACAGATGGGGTAAATGTCAGAGGTATTATAATATGGGGATAAGAAAAGATCTAAGAAAAATGAGAATAACTGGTCTCAGGCAGAATTACTTTTGTGCCCAAGAAAGTGGTAGATATTTTCTCCCTAATCTTCACCAAGAAATATCTTATATCTCCAAACCTCCTGGCTTTGGAGAGATAAAAGAGTTGTACTTCAGATTACACGTTTAATAAAACACCCAAATTGGGAAGTCAAAGACAGGAGAAGCTGTTAATTATTTTCTTAAAGGGTGAATCATGGGTTTATTATCAACAATCCTGACTGCCCCCTTTCTTCAAAAGATTCACACTAATGTTCCAAACAAATAAATTTTGGTTCCTGAGAAAGGATGACCCAAAAGCTACTGCAAGGTAATACACCCCTTTGTTTTGCCATAAGCACCTGCTTTAATAGTCAAAAATAAACAGCAGGATTTGGTTACCTGCATTCTTATTAACAAACTTACATGATTTCCTGTTGGAAACTTTCAAGGGCTGAACTAATATTTCTGGTCGTCTCAGAGCCAATCTCCTGGGGAAAAAGAAGGTCAACATGCCTATCAATTTTTAGCACAGACCCAAGGTTAATACAACACTAAAATACTGAAAATCTTAAGAAAAAAAAAATAACAACTTGAAAGTTAGGAGAAAAATGAACACAATGTAAATTATCTCCCCT